GGGGAGGAACAAATACATCTTCGTCGATAGGAGCAGAGAGTCCCTCTGTCGGGGAAACTTATCTACTCCCATCCCCCGGCTGAGATTCTGCTTCATCCCCAGCACAGCCGTGTGTCAGTGAGAGCGAGGTTAGGGGGAGAGAGACGGGACACAAAGCCAGCCTCTCTGCCAGCAATAGCCAATCAGATCTGGCTTACTATCCAGCCAGGTTCCCGTCCACCCCTCACCGTTTAAGCATGTGGAGAGGACTTGCCGGGCTTCTACAAGCTTCCTGGTTTCCATGGCAACGTTCTCTGGGGCTGCTGCAAATATACTGCTGGAATGGCATACTCAGGATACTTCCTTTTCTTTATGGAATGGTAAGCTGACCAGTAGGGTCTGAGGTCTGCCGTGCATTGATTCTGGTCTGAGGTTTGTTGTGCGTTTGGTTCTGGTCTGAGATCTGCCGTGCATTGGTTCTGGTCTGAAGTGTGCCGTGCATTTGGTTCTGGTCTGAGGTCTGCCATGTGTTGACTCAGGTCTGAGGTCTGCCATGTTTTTGTTGTGGTGTGAGGTCTGACGTGTGTTGGTTCAGGTTTGAAGTCTGCCATGTTTTTGTTGTGGTGTGATGTCTGCCATGCGTTGGTTCTGGTCTACGCCCTGCCATGCATTTGTTATGGTCTGCGCTCTGCCGCTTATTGGGCTCTGCCCTGTATTGGTTCTGGTCTGCACTCTGCCATGCGTTGGGCTCTGCCGTGTGTTGGTTCTGCTCTGAAGTCTGCCATGCATTTGGTTCTGGTCTGAGGTCTGCCATGCATTGGTTCTGGTCTGAGGTCTGCCATGTGTTGGCTCAGGTCTGAGGTCTGCCATGTTTTTGTTGTGGTGTTAGGTCTGCCGTGTGTTGGTTCAGGTTTGAAGTCTGCCATGTTTTTGTTGTGGTGTGATGTCTGCCGTGCGTTGGTTCAGGTCTGCACCCTGCCATGTATTAATCCTGGTCTGCGCTCTGCCATGCATTGGGCTCTGCCGTGTGTTGGTTCTGGCCTGCACTCTGCCATGTGTTGGTTTCGGTCTGCGCTTTGTTGTGCATTTGGCTCTGCCATGCGTTGATTCAGGTCTAAGGTCTGCCGTACTCTTGGCTCTGGTATGAGGTCTGCCATGTGTTGGTTCTGGTATGAGGTCTGTCATGTGTTGGTTCTGGTCTGAGGTCTGTCGTGTGTTTGGTTCTGATCTGAGGTCTGCCATGTATTTGTTCTGGTGTGTGGTCTGCCATGTGTTGGTTCTGGTCTGCGCTCTGCCATGCGTTTGGTTCTGCCGTGTGTTGGCTTTGGTCTGTGGTCTGCAGTGCGTTTGGCTCTGCTGTGTGTTGTTTCTGGTCTGCGCTCTGCCATGCATTGTGCTCTGCCATGTGTTAGTTCTGATCTGCGCTCTGCCATGCGTTGGGCTCTGCCGTATGTTGGTTCTGGTCTGCTCTCTGCGATATGTTGGGCTTTACCGTGTGTGGGTTTTGGTCTGTGCTCTGCAGTGCGTTGTTTCTGTTCTGCGCTCTGCTGTGTGTTGGTTCTGGTATGTGCTCTGCCGTGTGTTGGTTCTAGTCTACCCTCTGCTGTGCATTGGTTCTGGTTTACGCTCTGCTGTGCATTGGTTCTGGTCTACGCTCTGCTGTGCATTGGTTCTGGTCTACGCTCTGCCGTGGGTTGGGCTCTGCCGTGTGTTGGTTCATGTCTGTGCTTTGCTGTTCATTGTGTTTGTGCTCGCTCTAGCGTTAATGCTGGTCTAAGGTTTGTAGCCTATTGGTGCTGTTCTGAGGTGTGCCATGTGTTGGTTCTGGTCTGAGGTCTGCCATGTGTTTGGTTCTGGTGTGAGGTTGGCCGTTCATTGGTTCTGCTCTGCACTCTGCTATGTGTTGATTCTGGTCTGATGTCGGCTGTGCCTTGGTTCTCTTCTGCACTCTGCCATGCGTTGGATCTGGTCTGAGTGCTGCCGTGCATTGGTTCTGGTCTGAGGTCTGCCATGTGTTTGTTCTGGTCTGCGTTCTGCCGCACATTGGTTCTGGTCTGCGTTCTGCCGCACATTGGTTCTGGTCTGACATCTGCCATGCGGTTGTTCTGGTCTGAAGTCTGCCGTGCGGTGGTTCTGGTCTGAGTTCTGCCGCTCGGTGGTTCTGGTCTGAGGTCTGCCGTGCGGTGATTCTTTATTGGTTCTAATCTGAGGTCTGTAAGTCCAGTTTACTTTTCGGCACATATAAATATGGACATGTTTTATATGTGCACCAGTTATTCATTTTTTTTTTTTTCACTGATAGTTGTGCTGCTAGTTGTGAGGTAAAAACATTAATATAATTAGTGAGTTTAACTTACTATTAGCACAACTATGAGTGTAAACATTGACATTGAACTAACACTATGGCACGCTATTGCTCATTGGCACCCGGTTATCTAACGTTTGCAAAAAATGGCACTTGGTGTGTAAAAGCTTGCTGACTCCTGGTCTAATTCAACTCACCTCCTGGGTGACACAGGACCAGGGCCGGTGCTAGCATACGGCTAAATAGAGGGCACCATGGAGGTTGGGCCTGTGTAGGCAAAAATCCTTTCACTGTCCAGGGGGCCCGTCCGCCTCTCTACCACAAAGTCTAGAGCCTCCTCTGGCTAAGTGTCTTTCACCCAAGC